TTGGGATGTGATCTGACAGTTCATGTTCAGATGTTTTAGAAACCTGCTCCCCCCCTTTTTTTGAGGGGGGTGGCGATTGCATTGGCTTATCTGTTGTGAATATATCCTGCCTTTCTTCCGAAAGCATGCATGCTTCCCTTTCCACCCATTTTCTCCTGGTTTTTGCTTCGTTGTAAAATGCAATTGTGATTGCTATGTGTCCCAGATGTGTGGGATGTGAAACACAAGAGCAGTCAAGTACAACATTCCTAGAGTGAACATGTTTACACCTGGGGAGGAATGTTTGCCCAGCCAGCAGGTCAACTTCCTGTTTCCTCCTGGGCTGGACTTCTGCATGTGACTAGAGGTGGGCGTGGCCTCACCTGTGCAGGTAACAACAAAAGCACAGGGCAGGGCAGCCATCTCTCTCTCTCTTTGACTACATGCATCAAAGAAGCAACATCTGCTTAGCCAAAGATGTTCTCTTGGCCTCCAGCCAAGAGAGGACAAAGGGACTGTCTCTTTATGAGATAGTTTCCAGGTGTATGTTACTTTTCTAAGCTAAGTCTGCCTTCTGGGATCCGATTGTGAACAGAATGTGAGTAAACTCTTTTATACTTTTATAGAAGACTGTGCCGTGTCTTATCTTTTATGAGGGAATAAGGGGGAAATACCAGAACAGTTATTACAGAGGCTTTAGCGAGCCTGAGCAAACGCATCCGCTGTGAGTTTAAAAGGGGGAATGTTACTCTGCTAAATTGTGAACTTGTTTACACAAGTCGGAAAGGCTGTAATCAAACAATATATCCTCTCTTGCATCCCTGAACATTCCCACAAAATGGACGGCAGTTCCATTCAAGACCAGGAATGCGTGTCAGTGGTTTGTTCCAATATGCAGTCCAGCACCTACTCATTTCAATACTTCTACATTGGCAATCACTTGAAGTGATACGTAATACATAATTCAATACGTAATACAGTGGTACCTTGGTTTAAGAACAGCTTTGTTTATGAACAACTTGGATTAAGAACGCTGCAAACCCGGAAGTAGGTGTTTTGGTTTGTGAAATTTGCCTTGGAAGCAGAACATGTTGAGTGTGTTCCATGTGTAAATTGAATCCCCTGCTGCTATGGGAAAGCACACCTTGGTTTAAGAACGCTTTGGTTTAAGAACAGACTTCCGGAACGGATTAAGTTCGTAAACCAAGGTACTACTGTATAGGAACCCAAACAAGGAAGCGTTCCTATGGATCCTATACTACCTGAAAACGATTTACAGATGGTACTTAACTCTGAGTAGACTTGCTAAGTTTTCTAAGACTTAATCAGATAAGTGTTGGAGAATCAATGAGACTGAGGATACGTTCTATCATATGTGGTGGACCTGTAAAAGTCTAAAAGAGTACTGGGAAATAATCAAGTCAAGTTTATTGCGGCCAAAGCCAGTGACACTAAACACCATAAGATCAGACAACAAGAAATCAGCAACAACTTCAGAAAAGAAAAAAGGTTACACAAGAGAACTTCACAGTGTGCCATTCAACAGAAGAGATTTACGCTTCTTAATTACTAAAGTGCAATATTTAGCCACCTCATATGATACTGAGCTTGAGGAATCTTCCAGGAGGTATTTTCGAAGAGTTTCAGGGGAGGATTCCAAATAATATTGAAGGGGTATAAATTTTGATAGAAGCGGTAAAATAAGTTGAACTCGTTCTTCACTATAGAATTCGCAAGACAAAAGAATGTGTGTGACAGATTCTACCTTATTAGACATACAAGGGCAGAGACGCGCCTGCATTGGAACTCGCGTGAATTTGCCGTACAGCACTGCTGAGGGCATTGTCTCAAAGCGGGCTCTAGAGAAAGCCCATCTATAGGTTTCGTTAGTGATGTTAGTTAAGTAAGGGGCAGCTGCAAAATTAGGCCAAGCTTTTATACATCTATACGTCTCTGGGAGTAGGGCGCCTTCTTGTTGTAATTCGATATCATAAAGTCTCCGAGTGATAGTAGCTTTTGCCTTGTTCAGAGTTCCAATAAAAATATTTTCAGGGTTTAGGCCAATTTGTTTGATCTTGTTAGTTATTTGCATAAGCCAAGGAGGATAGGGAACTGCGGCCAGGAAGCAAGGTAATAGACCCTTAGGATTGTAATGGATTTTCAGCCAGAGGGATATTGCTTGTTCCCAGACTTTTAATTCCACTCTGGGCAGTCCTGCCTCTTGCCTTAAGACTGCATTAGGTGTACACTTAGGAGTAGCAAATAATGATCTTAAGAATTTAGATTGTACTGTTTCAAGGGTCTTAAGGTTGGCAGAGGGGCTAATTTGAGAGCCATATAGAAGTTGGGCTAAAGATTTTGCCTGAAAGACTGTTAGGGCCATCGGGAGGAAGCCAGCTCCTTTCCTTCTGAATAATCTAAGGATAGCATTTGCACTTCTTTCTGCTGATATAGCTGATGTGGTCAAGTGTGTTGAGAATTTGGCATTATAAGAGAAAGTAATGCCTAAGTATTGGAAGGTCTTAGTCTGTTCAATGGCGTTTCCCTTTACGCTCCAATTATCCTTCCTAAAGGAGCGGTTAAAATGTACAATTTTGGTTTTGGCAAAATTAATTGTTAACAGTTCAGTGTTACATTGGTCACTAAACTTTCCTAAGGCACGTTTCAGACCCACTTTGGTTTGAGAGAGAAGAACAGCGTCATCCGCATACATTAAAATTGGTACTTTTCTGCCATTAGAGAACACAGGGGGGTGGGTTTCAATTTCACGGCAGCATGTGACCAGGGAGTTGACATAGATATTAAATAGGAATGGGGCTAATAGGCATCCTTGTCTAACTCCTCTTTGGACTAGGATTTCTCTAGAGAGTCTGCCGTCCTGTGCAAGTCTTATCTGGAGGGTATTGTTCTCATGAAGCTTAATCATCAGAAGTAATAACCTTCTGTTAATACCCATATTGGCCAATTTGGCCCAGAGCCTGCTCCTGGATACAGAATCAAATGCTGCCTTTAGGTCCACAAAGGCCGCATATAATGACTTTTTCCAATATTTCGCATACTTATAGACAAAGTAATCTAGCACTAAGCAGTGATCAATGGTGGAACGTCCGGATGTAAACCCTGCTTGTTCAATTTCTAGCAAGTTATTATGATCTAACCATTCCCATAATTTTAGGCATAGATGTTTTGTATAAAGTTTACAGATCACATTCAGGAGACTAATTGGTCTATAATTAGATGGATCCGAGGGGTTGCCCTTTTAAATATGGGAACAATTATAGCTAGTCCCCAATCTTTAGGGATTTCAGTTGTCTTATCTATATATGAAAATAGATTAGCAAGGACCGGGGCCCACCAGTTTATTTGCGCTTTCAGAAGTTCAGCGACAATGAAATCACTTCCTGGGGCTTTGCCAGATTTCATTTGTAGAATTAGCGAAGTGATTTCAGTTTCAGATGTTGGGGGCCATGGTGTATCATTATCTAAGGGGATGTTAAGCGGCGCAGAAGGACGATGTTCCCTAAACAGCACTTTATAGTGCTCTTCCCATGAATTTGCAGGGATTATTGTGCCCTCATTAGGAGCTTTGGTTTGACTGGAGATAATTTTCCAGAAGTTGGAATTGTCTTTTTCTATTGACGCTTTTATGAGGGCCTGCCAAATGAGAGAGTCTGCGGTTCTTTTTTGGTTTTTAATAACTCTTTGTAGTTCTTTTTTTAAGTTGTAACTCCAATTTAGTGATAGGGTTAGGATTTTGCTGGAAGACCTTAAAGCATTCCCTGAGTATAAGTTTTGCCTGAGTGCATTCGTGATCAAACCATTTTTTGTTGGTAGGGGAGTCATTTTGGTTAGATCTTCTGGGTCTTGACAATAACGGTTGGAGTTTTCGGATTAATGTATTATAATGGTCAATTGGGGAGGTCTCTTCAGTGTCGTTGGAAGTCAGATCAGCCCAGAGGAGTTGACCTTCCATTGATTGTGTCCAAATACCAAAATGGTTATTAACATAAGGGGACCATTTAATTCTGGATCTGCCTATTTGTTGTAAAGCGCTAGGATCAGGAGTCTGCGGGGCAAGCCCACATCTAGAGGGTTCCCAAAATTCAGTCCTTTTAAGATTTAGGGGTAAATGGTCACTTTCGGTTCTTATATCTACAGCAAATTCAATATATTCATCGAAGAGTTCTTGGGAGACAAGGATGTAATCAATAACAGAATGCCTTAAGCCTGACCAGTAAGTAAATTGGCCAGGGCAGTCCCCGAGGAGAGGCCGTTTAAAATAACAAGTTTTAATCTAAGTGCCATTAAAAAAAGACATGTACCAGCAAAATTGGTAACTGGGTCAAGTGAGTGGCGCCTGAATAGGGGCCAATGTTCATCATTAGCATTTAGGGGACCCATTCCACTTTCCTTGATTAACTGTTCGTCTGAGTGGCCTAGCCTTGCATTAAAATCCCCACCAATAATTAAGGAGGCAGAGGGAAACTTATTTGAGACGAGGAGAATGCAGTCTTCCAGTTCGTTCCAGATGTTTTTAAGATCAGTTTGTTTCATAAGTGGGTGAATATAAACATTGATGCATATGATCTTAAAATGGGTGGAGAATATTTTAACGGCCAAAATCCATTTTTATCGATTTTCAATTGGATAGGGAGGCTCCTAGATCTGTCGATACGAAGGTGCTCAGACCTCCCACCGGTCTTCCGCCTTTTGGGCCGATTGAGGCAGGGAATGGAAAGCAAAGTAATTGTGTAGTTCGAAAGGATTTTGCATCCAGGTTTCTTGGAGCAGGATGATCTTGAACTGTGATACGTAGGTTAAAACGTCTTTGTCCCTTGTTTTCGATTGCCATCCAGCAATGTTCCAGGATAGTAGTAGGGGTGAGAGTCATTTTGTCTCTTCAATAGCATCTAGGGCTTTCCCGGAGTCGTGGAAGATGCAACCATTGAATGGTTGAGTCTCCGGTAATGTGATTAGGGGCGCCACAGAGATTTCGGCGTGGATTTCAGATGGGCAGAGTAGGATGTGAGGGCGATCTGGCTGCGACATCTGTCACCCCATTGATCGCCAGGGTTGATTCGGCTGATCTGGCTGGCTAGGCGGGTGTCCCCTTCCTCCCTCACCGCTCCATGTGCGTCCCTCCCGAAGCTGCGCGCTCGGTGGAAGAGGACGACCATCCCAGATAGAAGGAGTGTACCGTTCTTCGGTCAAGGGTATACGATAGCTGCGCTCCCCTGCTAGAACCTCCAAACAAGCTCAAGGTCCATTTGTAGGAGAACGTAGGGTAGTCAAGCTGGGAAATAATCCATAATGAACAGAAGATAACGCTTAAAAGTACTTTAAAAAAAAAAAGTTCCTTTTTGTTGGGAATAATCCAGACAGAAATTCCCAGGTGTCAAAATAACAACAACAACAACAACAATATATTATTTATACCTCGCCCATTAGGTATTATTTATACCTCACCCACCACTCTGGGTGGCTTCCCAAAAAATATTAAAATACTGTAATACATCAAACATTAAAATCTTCCCTAAACAGGGCTGCCTTCAGATGGTTATTTATATAAATAACCTTCAAAATAACCTCATATAAATAACCTTCAAAAAAGGTTATTTATGTATGCCACTACTGTGGCCCGTGTTTTGTTAGCCCAAAAATGGAAATTAAGCGAAGTCCCAACTAAAGAAAAATGGCAACTTAAAATTAATGGAATCTGCGCAGCTTGCGGACCTAACATATAGAAAAAGAACAAAAATAACATACTGTACGTTTAAAGAAGATTGGATTGACTATATGGGGGAAGGGAAAACGCTGGCAGCATTAAGATAAATTCAACAGTGCAAATAAGTTTTGACGGATGCAATAATGGAAAAATGTCTAGTAATCTGTATAGTGGTACCTTGGTTTACAACCATAATCCATTCCGGAAGTCCAGTTGTAATCCCCAAAAATGGGTTGTAATCCCAAAAAAGGGACACACGCTTCCGGGTTTGACGTGGTTGTAATTCAAAACGGTTGTAATCCAAAGCGGTTGCAAACCAAGGTACCACTGTATAGCAATGGGAAATGTGTATTGGAAAGGCATTTCATGAGGCAAATGTGGTTAGAAATGCATATCGTGAGGGGAAATGTGTCCTCAAATATGGTGAGGAGTTAGAAATGTCTACTATATAAGGGGAATGTTTAGAAGCGCTATTGTGAATGAGAACGTTCTAGAAATGTGAGTTGTGAGGGCAAAATGTGAGCGTCCAGAGGGAAAACACCTACTTAATTGTACATTTAAAGTTACCTTGGGGGTCGTTTGAAACAAAAGTTTGCAAGTTAATGCAGAACGGGATGGGGAAAATGCTTCTGGAAATCCCAACGAAAGAACAATGGCAAGAAAAACTGATGAGTTATGCAGAGTTGGCAAAATTGACACATAACATAGCTGTCAAGTATCCCTTATTTAAAGGGACAGTCCCTTATTCCAGCGCCATGTCCCGCTGGTGTCCCTTATTAATGGATGTCCCTTAAATGTCTCTTAAATGATGTCCCTTAAATTTCAAAGGAAGCAGCTCCTCTCCCTCCCTCCCTGCCGGCCAGGGAGGAGGGAGGCTCCAGCTGTGTTGCTTGGCTGTGTTGCTCACTCAATAAGAAGTCTAAGAACGACCGGGGGGGTGGAGCTTGCATGCCTTGTGTGTGGCTAGTTAATGCAAGCTGAGAGGGTTTTTGAATGCTGGACGCCATTTTGTTGCACGTGCTGCTGCAAACTTTGCAGTGCAAAGCCGGGGAGCCATCTTAAGTTGAGGCTGCATAGGCCTTGTGGTGCATGTGATTCCGATTCTATTCAGTTGAACCTCTGGTTACAAAGTTGGTTGGACAGTGTTCTCGAAGCTACCAGCATGCGTTTGACCAGACTGCAGGAGGACAGGAAGACTGGAGTGCCTGGAACAGGTGAGGCTGCAGGTCCCTTATTTTGGCTGCTGGTCCCTTATTTTCAAGGCTGCTGGTCCCTTATTTTCAAATCTGTAAGTTGACAGCTATGCACATAAACTATGTGAGAAGGACAATTGTGATTTCAAGGAAGATTGGGAACTTTTTACAAACTATTTAAAAAAAAACCACACAAAATGATTTGGACTCCTTGGCAGGTTTTGAATAAACACCCACAAATTTATTAACAGAAAATATGACAGATAAGGTAATGATAATGTACAACTTTTAACATGCAGAGAATAATATGTGCAAACAAATCAGAGAGGGGAGCTGAAGGACGTCTTTGGTGGGAGGGATGGAGAGGGGAGGATAAAAAGGGGAAAAAATAATGTAATTGATTATTTGGATTGATAATTTGTTTTGTTGAAATTGTCTAATAAAAATATATTTTAAAAAGAAAAAAAATGCTTCTGAGAAGGTACGGAACCAGATACCCCGAGTTATCCGTTCCTTTTAGGAAAGGCCACAGATTTTTAGTTTGTTTGGTTTTTCCTCAGAGAGGAGAATTCTGCTGTTGCTTTTGAGAAGCCTAGGTGTGAAATGCAAAGGGAATACAGGAAATACTTGTTGTCTGAAGTAAGAAGTGAGAGGAAATTGCTGGGGAAATTGGATTTGTCCTCCTCAGAGTGGAAACATCTTGAGATGAAGAGGCTGACAAAGGCATCTGTGAGAGGAAAACAGTGAGGGGGAAAGAGAAGGTCAGTTGAGGAGCTGGGAAGGGTTCAGAAAAGGGCAACTCAAGTTGGCACAACTCACCTTTCAGGAAAGGTTGCAAGATTCGGGTTTTATTTGAGGGGGAAAGCAAGAGGAGAGGACAGAGAAGTCGGGCCTCCTGTATCCTATTTCTGCGCAAATGTTGTTAATGTTGGGCTAGGGATTGGGGGGGGGATGGAGAAGAGAAATTGGATCCAGATTACATTTAAAACTACATTTATCGAATTCTCACATTGTGAAAAGGTACTGTGATAGGAATTTTATGGTCTTAGATATATGGTAATGTTCATAAGCGTACCAACCAAGCACGTACATAGATCAGCACAGGAAGGCCAACCTGGAACCATTTTGATTCCTAAACTGAGTACCGTATTTTTCGCTCTATAACACGCACCCGACCATAACACGCACGTAGTTTTTAGAGGAGGAAAATCCGTAGGCATGCCACCCGTAGGCATTTCCTCCATAACACGCACAGACATTTCCCCTTACTTTCTAGGAGGAAAAAAGTGGGTGTTATGGTGCAAAAAAATACGGTAAATGTTTTCTCTGCAAGGTCAAAGTCTTTTCCTTCACAAATCCTGTCTGAAGGGTATGTCTGTGTTTGAATAGGGTGTGAGCCTGTGACCTGGCCAAGGAACTAAGTATTTATCATTACAAAAGACTAGCCAGGCTCCCCAGGCAACCCAATCAAGTAACCTACCAGACAGGAAATAAACAACAACAGGAGAAACACAATATTCAAATTTCTGTTTTAGACCACCTTTTCTGTGATGTAGGTGTGGTGTATCTGAGGGGTGGTCTTAGGTTACACCCCTTCTGTGATGTATGTATGATGTTTCTGGGGGTGGTCTTGATCTACAGGGTGGCAATTTCAAAAGTCTTTATAAGGCCTTGCACGCCATTTTTCTGGGTGCCTCCTCCTCTCCTTCGGGTGAGGGGAGCACCCTGTTGCAACAGTTCAATAAAGATCAAGCTTACTAGCTGCTTTGCTTCTCAATATTCTCTGGTTGGCCTCTGTTATTCTCTCCTACCAATAAGGAACCTATGTAAGGACTCTATAGGGGCTCTTAGATACCCCATAAGGGAAAAGGGCAATTTTTGTTTACAACAGTACATAGAACCTTCAAAAACTACAATTACCCAAATCCCGCAATGTGCTTATCCAACCCATGTTTACAAAAATACACATACAGTGGTACCTCTGGATGCGAACGGGATACGTTCTGGAGCCCCGTTCACATCCTGAAGCGAATGTAACCCGTGTCTGCGTGTCTGCCCGTGTGCAGGTAGCGACTCGCCGCTTCCGTGCATGCGTGTGACGTCATTTTGAGCATCTGCGCATGTGCGGGCGGCAAAACCCAGACGTAACGCGCTCCATTACTTCCGGGTCACAGCAAAGCGCAACCCGAAAATACTCTTCCTGAAGCTTCTTCAACCCGAGGTATGACTGTAGCAAGTACAAATTGAATGAAAACTGAATTTGGCTGTGAACACGACGCTCAAAGATGCGCTCTGCTAGGATATAAACTTCTGGGGCAGAAATGTGCAGTTCGGTCAAAACTGCGCCCAAAACTTTGCATGAAATTGTTGAAGGATTTCCATGAGGATTTTTTTTAAAAAAATTAACTCCTTTTGGTGCAGAAATGTAGATAACTGAATTGAAGATTGGGAAAACAGGAAACTGGGAGGACTGAAATGGATGGATCTGCGCGCCCCTACTCTGGTCTGAGGATGAATTAGTTCGAATTCGAGAAATATTTCCAAGTGCTGCTATTTTCTAAATCAGACCCTGCTTTTATCTGAGGCCAGGTGAAAGGCCCACCTAGAGCAAAACAACATAAGAATAGCCACCAATGGCCCATCCAGTCCAGTGTCCTCTTCCCACAGTGGCCAACCTTAAAAATGGAAAGTGTCATGCTGGTGGTCAGCAAAAGAGGTTTAAAGACTCTCTCAAGGCAAATCTTTAAAAATGCAGTATAGGTAAAGGTAAAGGGACCCCTGACCATTAGGTCCAGTCGTGACCGACTCTGGGGTTGTGGCGCTCATCTTGCTTTATTGGCCGAGGGAGCCGGCGTACAGCTTCCAGGTCATGTGGCCAGCATGACTAAGCCGCTTCTGGCGAACCAGAGCAGCGCACGGAAACGCCGTTTACCTTCCCGCCTGAGCGGTACCTATTTATCTACTTGCACCTTGATGTGCTTTTGGACTGCTAGGTTGGCAAGAGAAAAATGCAGTATAAACACCAACAATTGGGAAACACTTGCCTGTGAACGCTCCAATTGGAGAACAGCCTTGACCAAAGGTGTCATGGGCTTTGAAGACACTCAAACTCAGGACGCAAGGGAGAAACATGCTAAGAGGAAGATACATTTGGCAAACCCTCACTGTGACTAACTCCCGCCCGGAAACCTATGTCCCCACTGTGGAAGGATGTGTGGATCCAGAACTGGCCTCCACAATCACTTATGGACTCATTATTAAAACCATGTTTATGGAAGACAATCTTACTCAGCTACGAGGGATCGCCGAAGAAGAAGGAGGAGAAGCTTGTGAGAAAGCTGGAGGCACCACAAGAGTAACACTCTGCCTTCTTGCAGTTTCTTGTGACCAATGTGATTCAGGGTCTGGAAACTAAGCCTCACAAGGAACAGTTGAGGGAGTCTGGGAGGCTTATCCTGGAGAAGACTGAGAGGTGAGACCTTCAAATATGTGAAGGGTTGTCCCATGGGAGATGGAGAAAGCTTGCTTTCTGGCGCTGCAGAGGGCAGGACTTGAACTAACGGATTCAAGTTGCAAGAAGGGAGATTTTTGACTCAACATTAAGTTGCAAGTAAGAGCTGTTTGGCTGTGGAATTATGCACTTTCCTCCAAGAAACTCAGAGTCATTACACTTGGGGAATTTTGCGCACTCAAAGGGGAAAGGGTAGCTTAGAATGGTGGTGACTTATTATGCCTATAAGCCATTCTGAGAAGAGAGATGCAAAATCTTGCTGAGTAAGAATATGTTTTCCAAAAGAGTTACAGGACTTATTTACTTATTATTGGCTAGCTCTGGGACGGCTTTTCAGAAATGGGTTGCAGCTATTCACGCTGAATATGTATTCGGGAAAATAAATGCGGGGGGGGGGATAACCAAAAGAGTTCAGAAAATAAATCATAGGCAAACTCGGCCCTCCAGATGTTTTGGGACTACAATTCCCATCATCCCTGACCACTGGTCCTGTGAGCTAGGGATCGTGGGAGTTGTAGTCCCAAAACAACTGGAGGGCCGGGTTTGCTTATGCCTGCATTATATACTGTATAGGCATAGGAACAGATAAAGATAAAAATAGGGACATTAAAGTTTAAGGAGAAAAATAGTTACCGAAAAAAATACTATCTAGTGTCCACTCGGGATATCAGATAGGGAAACAACCAGTTTAAAAAATCAAATACAGGGGAAATCCACACCATCTAAGGAACATACAGTGGCACCTTGGTTCTCAAACTTAATCCGTTCTGGAAGTCCGTTCCAAAACCAAAGCGTTCCAAAACCAAGGCACGCTTTCCCATAGAAAGTAATGCAAAAGGGATTAATCCGTTCCAGACTTTTCAAAGCAACCCCTAAAACAGCAATTTAACATGAATTTTACTATCTAACGAGACCATCGATCTATAAAATGAAAGCAATAAACAATGTAGTGCAGTCACACAATCAGTCAGTCAGTCAGTAGCTGAACTGGGTTCCACACAGTCACAAAAACAAAAACGCAAAATAAATAGCAAAAACAGACAAACCTCAGCATAACACTCAAAACGGAAGCATCGCACTCTAATCGGAAGCGTAACACTCAAAACGGAGCACGTTCGGCTTCCAAAAAACGTTCGCGAACCGGAACACTTTCTTCCCGGTTTGCAGTGTTTGGGTTCCAAGGTGTTTGAGTACCAAGGCGTTTGAGAACCAAGGTACCACTGTACAATGCATATTTGAATCTCATGACTTCTCTCAAAGAACCCTGAGGGGACCTTGGAGGGGATGGAAATATTTGAAGAGTTTCGATGGCCACCTGCCAGGGATTCCTGCATTGCAGGGGGTTGGGCTGGATGACCACTTGGGGACCCCTTCCAACTCTACCATTCTATGATCGATCAGGGCTCTCCTTAGGTCCTCAGCTGTGGCTCCAGAGCTGATCCTTGCTGTTGCACAATCCAGTGTTCCCCGTCAATGTCCTTTTCCTCATCTGTTTGAAGATTCCCCACTGAACCAAGTTGCATGTGAGTGTGCGCGCGCGCAAATGGGGTACACTTTACGATTCCCTCTCCTTGCGAAGACAGGCTGTTAATATAATTGTCCAGCGACGACGAGCGAGCAGTTGGAAATTGTGTAGCGGGGAGATGTACAATCAGGGAGGGAGAGCCCGGGGAGGAGAATTTAAGTGGAGGTTAAGCAAATGCATTACTTTAATAACATGTAGAGACAGCCTGGGTAGTTATAAGGAGGATAAAATAAATATTGTACAAGGAAGCCATGGAATGGGAGTTTTTATCACCCAGAAAAGCCCCGCTTGCGATTTGCTTTCAATTTAGATTCTTCCCTCTCTGGCTCTCTCGCTCGCTCTTTTGTCAAAAAGCCTGGCTTCTTTATATATGGCGGGGGTGACTGGAATTGAAAAATGGCCAAGCGCGTCCATACTTTTTTGGAGAAGAGCCTCGGTTTCTCAGAGAAAATGATCACCACGCCAAGCCCCAGGACTGTGGTGCTCAGCTGTTTGTGCACAGCGCGTTTCCCCCCCCACACACACAATTTTATAGAAATGGCACATAATTCAACCAGAAAATGGTGTTTGTGGGCCTCCTACCTCTCCCACCCCCGCAATGCTACTGCTAAACCTTCTCTCTCTCTCTCTCTCTCTCTCTCTCTCTCTCTCTCTATCTCAAAACTGGAGATAAGCCAATCTTTGAGGCTTAAAAGCTTTCTCTAAAACAGCACAGCCAATAAATATATTAATTAATAAATCCAGCGCTTGGGAAATGAATCGGCCATGGGCCATCTTTTACCCATTTCAAGACACCTTCCCTAAGAGTTAGAGAAGCAGAGATACAGGTATCCTACTTTGTTGTTGTTTAGTCATTTAGTCGTGTCCGACTCTTTGTGACCCCCCTGGACCAGAGCACGCCAGGCACTCCTGTCTTCCACTGCCTCCTTCGAGAACACTGTCCCACCATCTCGTCCTCTGTCAGCCCCTTCTCCTTGTGCCCTCCATCTTTCCCAGCATCAGGGTCTTTTCCAGGGAGTCTTCTCTTCTCATGAAGTGGCCAAAGTATTGGAGTCTCAGCTTCAGGTTCTGTCCTTCCAGTGAGCACTCAGGGCTGATTTCCTTCAGAATGGAGAGGTTTGATCTTCTTGCAGTCCATGGGACTCTCAAGAGTCTCCTCCAGCACCCCTTCATGGATCACTGCCGTGCCATGGCGAAGGGGCTTGAATAACTCAGAGAAGCTATGAACTATGCCAAGCAGGGCAACCCAAGATGGACAGGTCATAGTGGAGAGTTTTGACCAAACGTGATCCACCTGGAGGAGGAACCGGCAAGCCACTCCAGTATCCCTGCCAAGAAAACTCCATGGACAAAGACAACAGCTATCCTACTTAGTGATCCAATAACAACCCTTTCCTGGGTTGAGGGGCAGATTGGACAGGGGTGCCCCTCTCAGCACACTCTGGCAAGGCTGTGAAAGAACGCCAGCGTTGTTGCACTGCCATGGGGCTCCCCCTTTTGCCCACTGAGCGTGCAAGTGTGGGCTGCAATTGCCATCCGCGAGGGGGGGGGGAGACGATTTGATCACTTCTCAAGCTCCAGGCTGGCCTAGTGATCTGTTGCCCTCTTCGGCTTCCGCCTGGCTGGCACGCTCAGTAAAGTTGCAAACGCCAAACCTCTCTCTGCTAAGCTCTGTCGGGTTAATCAATCAAGGTTAGGATTGCACACAAAACTCATAGAACCCACCCCTCTCATCTGAGGCTGCATTCACACCATGCAGTTACAGCGGTGTGATAACACTTTAAACAAGGCTTCCTCAAACACCTACAGATGTTTTGAGACTACAATTCCCATCATCC